TCATCAGCTCATTAGTAGAGACTCCAAGACCTGAAATTGGTGTGTCAGAGAAAAGAGACATGCAAAATTAGCAGTGTCAGGGTGCCTCAAGGACCAGGGTTGGGAACCACTGGTCTAGACCATTAGGATTATGCCAACATCTAGACCAGTGGTTCCCCACCCTGGTCCTTGAGGCACCCCAACACCGCACATTTTGCATGTCTCCTTTCTCTGACACTCGTTTCAGGTCTTGGAGTCTACTAATGAGATGACCTGAATCAGGTGTGTTTGATTAAGGAGACATGCAAAACGTGCAGTGTTGGGGTGCCTCCAGGACCAGGGTTGGGAACCATTGATCTAGACAGCTAAAGGAGAAAATAAGAGACCAATCTTTGTTTTAATTTGACAGAAAATGTTTATTTCCCCATTCAAAGAATTTAAAGAAAGGTGATTAGTGAAAAACAAGTCAACATCCAAACTGAGGAGTGGGAAGGGTGAGGAAAACCTTATAATGCTTCAGCAGACTTTCTGAAAATCATAAGCTAAACGCATTTCTCCATTGCGAAATGTCTAAATAAAATCAAATAAAATTCTTTAAAACAAAAAGAAAGCAAAAGGAAAAACTTTTAAAGTCTAAAAAAATATTTGTGCATGTGCACAAAACAAAATATATTAAACACTTAAACAAAAATACTTAAATCAATTTTAAATACAATGCAAAAAGTAAAAAAATAAAAATAAAAAAAAAAGGTATTGGTGGAACACAGGTCTGCTTGGCAGCATATTGTCATTACAGTAACGGGAGCAAATGCATCAGTGCATTCACGTTTAGAAAGAGGCTTTTCCATTTTACAGTTTTAGATAACCAATTCTAAATACTTACAAATACAGTATGATTTTAAAATGTGACCACACAACTTAGCATTTTTTTTAAGGTTAAACTTGTTCTTTTGAGTTAAATGTCTAACAGGGTTGCTTACCAAATATGTGAAATACATCTAAATGTTAAAAAAAAAAAAAAACCCTAGAGGGTGGAGCAGCTTACAAAAATGTATACATTTAAAAAACGAGATTGTCAGAGCTAGTGTTTAATGATGAGAGAAGAAACCTTAAGATGCAACTGTCATTCAAAGAGATGGACATGCATATTGCTTAAACAGGCATTTAAAACCACAACAACAGTTAAAACATGATTAAAACAACTAAAAATACAGGAAAAAGATTTAGGAAACCTTTTCTAAATTCTAAGCCCCATCAACATAGAATGACGTACTTCCAATTACATTATACTTGAAATCAAATGTCATTTTTCTATTTTAACTTAAACGGGACTCACGAACACTGCCCTTCTGATTACGGTTTTTCCACAATTCATTAGTCTGTCGAAAAGGACAACTGCATAGTGTAGACACCTCCGTGAGACACGAGAATCTTACCACATTACATGCTATTAACGCAGATTAGTTTTCTATGCTAAAATTATACTCGGTGTTAAATTTAAGTTCATTAAAGAAATAGCAGTTTCCCTCATGTGATAATTAATTAGATTGTCCTTACACAAGCCAAGCATTCTTACTCTTAACAAAAACGGCCTTCATAACTTCACTAGATTCCCATCTTTGAGGGGGAACCAGACAGTCCTTATAAGAGAAAGTGCATATCAATAACGCCACTAACTAAAGTTCCTTAAGCATTTTAGTTATTTAACTCCCTAGAATTTATTTTAAAAACAGCAGAGGCAAACACTCAATCTCTACAGTGAATTCTTGGTGCAGGCTTTCTGAGATCAATCTTAACATGACGTTTGCAACACAAAAGGAATAATAATGCTTAAATACAGACTACAGATTACAATGATCAATTAGGAAAAAGGATTACTTGTCACATAATCAAGAAACCTCATTGCCCTTCCTACTATGCTAACGTTTTAGTTAAGCAAAAAAAGAGGAAGCAAAACTAGGTATGAAACATTACGTGACCGTCATAAAATCAGCAATTCCATTATGGTTCCTTTACAGGCTGCAGCAGAATTATCAGCAATAAATGAAATAAGCAGTTTCTTCATGGAATGAAAATATAGCTCGATGTAACGTGGAGCTGTGGAAAGTAATTAAGCAGGCAGAAAATTCAGAAATATGTACTTATGTCAATGATTGCATGCTTCTGTCATTAGCCAACCCTAAAAACTTATATAATTACCAGTTAAACTAACAACTTTTAAAGTGAAAGTACACCCAAAAATGAAAATTCTCCACGAAACACAAAAGTGGAAAGTGACTTCAGCTTTAAAAAGGTACAATAAAAGTTTACCATAAGAAAAACTTATGCGGCGTACATCACAAAAAAAATAATAATAATGAGACTATTAGTGAATAACTAAATTTCAGCCAGTTTCTCACACAAACCTTTGCATGGCTTCAGAAGATTTGGAAAACACTGCATTAAGTAAATCATAACTTGTCCTATTAGCAGCTATCACGCACTTTTTGTTATATGTAAAAGAGCAATTGTGCCATCTAACATCTTAAAAATATATACTTGTTTTGAGTGACATTAGGGTGAAACTTTTCATTTTCGGGTGACCTGTCGCTTTAAGAAAACAAATTTTGTTTAGGCACAGTCTGCCTTATGCATGTATGCCGCTTGTTGCAGTTTTTGTGTTTGTGCTTTTGGCATCTAGCTGAGAAGCCAGGCTTTGCTAAGGCTGGACTATCGAATGGCGTCGTTTTGTCCAATAAGCAGCTGGTGAATCTTGCCTGAACGATCCCTCCCTCCCGATCAAGATCCCTGAGCTTCAGGATTCATTCCCATTCTGAGCAAGTCAGAAGCCAAACTGTGACAGTAAAAATGTTGATTTCACATCAGCTCTTTTAAATCCTCTTTCACAGAGCTGGAGGAAGCGGGATGGCTCCAGATGACAAACAGTCACACGTCTTTGGCTCTAACAGCAGGTAGTTCCCACAAACAGACATGGACGAGTTCCCCAGTAACCCTCCCGTAGATTTAACCTGCAAATAAGAAAAATGTGTTCAAACCATTGGCCAAAGCTGCTTTAGTTTGATGTTTTAATATATCATTGAGGTTATTCTCACCTAATAGTTGATTCCCATGTCAGCAGGGGCGGCGTCTACACGCCATAGCAGGCTGAAAGCCTCTCCTTCAGCAGCGGTGGAAACTGTTCGGAGAACTGCTGCCAGTTATCCTCACCAACCTGATCCTTGAAGCCATGCAAAATCTAGACAAGAAATGGATAAATTCTGCTGAAGCATAGCAGACCACTGTGCTTCTATCTTGGCCAACTGTAAACCCATCTAATCAAAGTTGTTAGTTACAGAAGAGCATTTGTACCTTGTAGAACATGTCTCTCAAATCGTCATTTGGATTTACCCAGGAGGCCACAGCGTCACAGAAAAAGATGAAGTCCTGCATCCAAAAAAGTTGCATTAAAGCCAAAGTCAAAGTCAATTCATTGTTAATATTATTTTTTGGATTTAATAAACTATATTTCTATTTTACGGTAGTTAGTACATAAGAAAATGTAGAGAAAGATTATACATGAATTATATATTTCTGATATTGTTATACAGCATGGAACATTTAGCCCAAACCACTATTTAAATGTAATAAATTGTATTAGTTTTATTTATTTTTCACTCTAGTAAGCACATAAGAGAATATAGAGAAAATACATAAATTATATTATTGTATTTATATTGCTTTTATTTTTTGATATTGCTATACAGTATGGAACTTTTAGCCTAAAAACCCAATTTATCATTTAGATTTATTTTAATTATACACATTTTTATTTTAAGAGTAGCAATGAAGTACATGAAAGTAGATGACAATAATTATATTTATATAGCTTTTTTCCTGATATTGCTACATCGTATGAATGTCATTACATTTAGATGGTAAAAGGTTATAAAATTATTATAAACTATTAAATTTTACTGCAAGACAAATTTACCTGCGGGTATGAATAAAGTAACCTAACCTAAATGATTAATTAGAAATTCAATGATGTTAAATTAAAATGTATCAACTTTAAATTGTGAATGTCTTACAGTTCATCATATCTAGTGTGATTTTATTGTAATGATTGGGTACATAGATGTTGGTGTGTCCAATAAATGTATAAAATCAAATAAACATAAAAAATATATAATAAATCAGTTTTTAATTTGGATAACGGATTTGGTTATTTTGTATTATTTTGATTATCCTCTCACCTGTACGACTCCTCCAGGATTTACCCCAATCATTACACAAATGCCCCTGAAGGCGGAGTCTTTCTCTTCATTGTCCCGAATGTTTCTAAGAGACGTGCACCTAGGTTTATAAAAAAAAAAAAAAAAAGAAAGTTTAGTAGATTTTTAGTGGGTTTTTCAACAAGGATCTGTTGATCTGGGTTTTATTTTAAATCAAGCTGTGTTGCACTACTTAATTTTAAACACAGATTAACAAATCGGGAATTAGAAATTCTAACCTGCTATAAAAACCTATTAAAATTTTCTCCGCCATGATGGATTCGCCATTTTAAATAAACCGCAATAATGTTAATGGTCCATATTCTTCTTTATTGACTACCAAACACTCTCTGACAAAAGTAACACTTATCAATAAAGGAAACTTGTAAAATGTCAGGCATCTTTATAAACTGCTATGTAGAGAGACCATTAGATTACACGGCTGATCAAGCAGGCAAGGAAAACATTAATGCAGCGCGTATGGATTTCATAAGCCTGGAAAAATATTTATATTATCAATTAATGAAGTAATATGGCAGCATAGCTTATGACAAAACCGAGATAAGAGAAAACGTTTCGCAGAGTGACTACCGCCGCTCATGACAGCGCCACCCTGTCCTATTGATCGCAGTCCAGCAGCCACAAGAAACGAGATACGCGGAAGCAATCACTGGCGCTCACCTCATCACCGCTGCCGTTAAATGCTACAAATATTCCTCCTATCTTTTCTTTGTCCGACACAGAGATGCACCGAGGAGTGACGGATCCACATTTCAGACTCCATAGCGGGTGTAAACTTACAGGCCGCCACGACTCTCACACTCTGCCGGATCAATGCGCTTTTATCTTCATTTTTATTTGTAATAAACACCTCTCTGAGACCTGAGGACACACCCACTGTTTCTGTCTTTATTTAATCAGCCACGTACTCTAATTGTAGGTGTACTTTATTACATTTAAACCTCCTCACCTGTAAACTTAAAGGCACAATATGTAATTTTCGCCACTAGAGGGCGCGTATTCAAAATAAACAAATAGACAAAGGCGTAGTTTGATGACGCCGTGACTGAGTGTGGAATCATGGGAGTTGTCGTCTTCATCCCCACAGCCGATGCAATCCGACGGGACTCAGGCAGAAATCATGTTCATGGATGAGCTAATGATTTATTAACGTAGTAGAATGAAGCAGGGTGAGGCTGAAAGTCGTCGAAGCGAAATGAGGCTGCTGAACGAGCGTGACACACAGCTCGAAAGCAGCGGAGCTTTTATTATGCCACAGTCGACCGTTTCCGCTCCTTCCGGTCGTGCGTATGTGGTGGGAAAAAAGCAGCGCTGTTTTAGCACACTAGATACATTTGAAAGTTCTGTTATAATGCTACTCTGTGCGGTCGTCACCGGTCTATTAAAACGCACAACATATTAAAGCTTCTTTGGTGTTTCCATGTTTTCTACAAAACAAAACCAGAAATCGAGGGGTTATGACGTCATTGGCAGGCGACACAATGACACTATGGACACGCTCCGTGTCACTAGTTAAAATTGCTTATTTCTCTGGATTTAAACAT